CAGTTGGGAAAGGGCAAATCCTATGAAACTAACAAAAAAATGTATCAAAAGTAAAATTAAAAAAAAAAAATATTAATGATGTAAGAAATAAAGTAAAATAAGATGGAAAAATATTTAAAACATTTAGTAAAAAAAATATAAATAAAAAAGTAGTTGAAGTTGTGCAAAGTCAAAAACTATGAAATTGAAAATAAATAAAATATAATAAAATACAACGCTAAAAAGTATGAAAAAAATAAAAAAATATATTTAAAAAAAATCAATGAAATATTAAAAAAGAATATAAAAACCAATTAAAAACCATTAACACCAAAAAAAAAATATTCAAATCAATATAGAAATAATTAAAAATAATAAAAAATTCAGTAAAAAATTTTAAAAATATAAGAAATAAAAAATAGTAAAAAAAATAAATAATTAAAACTAAATTCAAGAAAGGAAAGATAAGAATGGAAAAAATTTAATAGATACATGGAGTTGATTCCATTATGTAAGAAAACTCAAAAAGCATTAAAAATTTAAAAATATATCAAAAACGAATAAAAAAAAATTAAAATCAAGTTAAAAAAATATAAAAAATTCATTAAAAAAATATTCAAATGTATAAAATAAAAAAAAAATGCAAAAACGAGAAAACTAAAAAGTGGAAAACAAGTTAATTAAAAACAAAATTTAAAAAAATTAAACACATTTGCTAAAGAGATTTAAGCACAAATATTAAAAATAAAAAATGGAAAAAGAGTTGAAAAAATTAAAATATTCATTTATATAAAACGATGTTAAAAATATATTTCAAGCGATTGAAAAAATTTAAAAAATACAGCAATAAATTGCGAAAGATAGAAAATTAAAAAAATTAAAAAACAACAGAAAATTAATAATATAGTAAAAAAACATAATAATACAAATTAGTCAAATCAAAATCAAAAAATAAAAAGTAAACAAATACAAAAAATATTAAAAAAAGTAAATTAAAAATATACTTACTTATATGAAAAAACCAAACAAATCAAAAAGGTAAATTAAAAATATATTTACTCAAATGGAAGAAAATAATAATAATTAAACAAGAATTAAAAAAATAATTAATATAAAAGTAATTACTAAAAAATATAAAAAATAAGCATTATATAAAAAAAAATTAAATAATAACAATTAAATAAAATAAGAAAGTAAAACATATATATAAAATATTAAGAAAAAAAATAACGACATAATTACTTACATGAAAAAAAAAACAAATAAAAAATATATTAAGAAAGTAACGACTAAAAAATATAAAAAAATAATTATAAAAATTAACAAAATAATAAATTAATAAAATAAGAGATAAAAATTAATAAGTAAAAAAATTATTAAAAAAGTTAATCAAAGTAGAGTAAAAACATAAAAAAGCGAAAAAAGAATTTAAAAAACATATTTACTTATATAAAAAAAAATAATTAAAAATATATTAAAAAGTATTGATTGTGAAATATAAGTATAAAAATAAAAAAATAATAAACTAATAAAATAAGAGATGAAAAATTAATAAGTTTTATTATAATATATATTAATTATTATATAATTATTATTTATCAAAGTAGAGTAAAAAAAATAAACAACAAAAAATAAATTTAAAAAAATGAAAACAAATTAAAAAAAATTAAATAGAAAAAAAATTAAAATATATATTAATTTAAAAATATATATTTATTAAAAAATAATAAAATTAAATATATTAAAAATAAGTGAAAAAAGAGTAAAAAATTAAAACAAAATACATTTTTAGATGTACATATGTGCAAGGTTTCTAGACACGTCAAAAACTATATATAGTTTTGCAGCTATTTTGCATTGAAAAATTTAAATTGTTTCGAGTACTGCTGATTAGTAAAGAATGAAAATTGTGCAACTAATTGCGATTTTATTTTTAGATTATTAGAGCTTGTATAAAGTTGCTTATGCAGATTTTCAGTTTTTTTTTTGTTTTTAAGTCTAGGCACACACCTTTAGCCTTTTTCTTTGAAATAACTCACACCAACGCATTTTCTCATATGCTCTCTGTATTTTAATTTTTAGTTTTTCAATTAAGAAAATTTATCTACTTTGATTTACATTTCATTGCTTTGCTTTCGAAATTTTCACTAAAATACATACATTGCCTACAAAAAGGTAGGCGAGTGTATTTTCGTTTTCTTTTTTTTTTAGTTTAATATTATGTGCTCGGATTTAACTCTCGCTGCACACTTATAAATTAGCCTATTTTTGGAGATTCTCTTCTACTGACAATATTTGTTGCATTTATTATGTAATTTACACAATTTGCACACTTACAATATTTGTATTACAATAATATGCATTATTATACTAAATACAATTTAAGAAAATTTTTAATTATTTTTATTTTATTAAAATTTTATTTTTATGTTTTTTGTTTCGGTTTTTAGTGACACATTTTTTGTTAAAGTAAATTTGCATTATATTTAAATTTGTAACCTAAATTATTTTGTTATAAATCTAAATGTAATTTACTAGTTTTTCTTTATTCTACAACTATTTAGATATATTAAAATTATTTATTTACATATTTAATTTATTTGCATTGATTTTACTTTTAAAAATTGCATTTCATTAAATTTTTAATTTATGTAAATAATTTATTTTTAATATACTTTCATTTTCGAGTGAGTTTGTCAACTAAGAGTAGCAGAGTTAGATTTTCAAAGACGAAGAAGATACATACATACATAAATTTGTATATTATACACGTAGATTGCGTGTTCAGTAATATCTAACCTTGCTTACTTTTTGGCTTGAAGTATTTTTTAAAAAATTAAAAAAAGAACTGAAGAGCTTGTCATTTTCTTAAAGTCACTTAAATGAAATGTGGGGGGAAAATATATAAATTATTTTTTTTTAATTTAGTTCTTTAAAAAAATATTTTGGCGAAATAAGAAACATTTTTTTTCATCTCTAGTTTACGTTTACTTTTTTTGTATGTTTTGGCTTTGAAATCAATTTGAGAACAACAATCTAAGTACATTCTTCTGATTATATAATATTATATCATGTATGTTGTGTTTGTTGTTATAAAATATTTTGCTCCAATTTTCCCAGAAAACATGTTGCCATCGTATAGGATTTAATAACGGTTTTTTGTATTGAAAACTTATTACTTTTAAATATTTAGACACAAATTTTTTCTATGAAATTTACAAATATTTGCGTAAAATTTTAGTTACACATATTTTTTTCCAAATTATGAAAGATTTTCAAAATCCAATTTTTTTTGGAAACCACATTTTTTTTAATTTGAAAAATTTAAAATTTTGGATTATTATAATGTTGCTTACATCAATATTTCAACTAAATTGACTTCTCCGAAATTGGAAATTTTTCGAACATGTTTCTTCGGATTTCTTTTTGAATATTTAGAAATTTCATAATGAGGCTCTTAAAAAAGGAACTTCCTTTGACCGTTTTGAAAACCAAAAAAAAATTTAACAGATTTTTTGAAGTTTTCCAACAAAACAAATTAATATATTTTTCCGAGTTTTTTGGTTATCATGGTATTATTGGTAATATTTATTTGAAAGTCAAAATTTTTCGAAAATATTGAAGTTATTATTGAAAGTCAAAATTTTTCGAACATATGAGACCCTCAATAATTGATTTTTTTTTCTAATTTTGGATATTCGCAGTGAACCTTTTGGAAAATTTGAATTTTTACAATAGAAATTTTTTTTTTTTTTTAAATACAATCTCTTTTAATACGAAGCAAAACGATTTTAAAAATCACCCCTTCTGGAAAGTTTTGTTTTCGTGAAATTTTGTTATATTTATCACTATAATTTTTATTATTATTATTTTAATGCTTAGACTTTTCAAACAGATGATTTGTTTTCCAAAACTCAAAATATCATAATAAAAATATTTGAAAAACCCTTTAATTCTCCAGAACTCCAGAACTTTTATTTATATAAATTTGCAAATATTTGTTTTTTTTGTGTTTTTGTTTTTGAAATTTTTTATTTTTTACTCAGTGAACATAAGACTAAATTATGCGAAGATCTAAAATTTTCGAACATATCAGTAGCTCAAGACAGAAAACATTAAGCGATTTGAAACATTTGAACTGTGTTGGTAAAATATTTTAATTATTTTTGAATTATTTTGGAAAAAAAAAATAATTTCAATAAAACTTTTTATGTAAAAAATTCAAATTTTTTTCAATCGTGATGAAAATATATCATTTTTTTTAATACATTTGAAATTAAACATCTTTACGCTTTTACAAGAATACTGAGTGGTTTTTATAGATACACAGTTATTTTCAAAAAAAATTGGTTAAGTTATTTTTAATTTTTTTCTTTTTTTTGGATATATATTTTTCGAAATTTTAGGAACTTTGGAAGAATTAAAAAATAATTACGGTTAACCATTTCGATATTTTTATTTGTTTATATTGTTTGAAATATTTTTAATTCGCATAATTAAAAAATGCCAAAATATTAAAACTTCGCTTTTTAAAAATATAACGTTTTTAATTTTTAAATTTTTCCATAAAAAGGCCTAGTAGTCATCATGTCGAGCTTTTGAAATTAAAAACATTTTAAATACTTCTTTTTTTTTTTTTTTTTTGAAAAATTTGTGTCCAAAATACATATTCGATGAGTTTTTTTCGTTATTTTTTTTTTAATTTTCTAATACGCAAAACTCAAGTTGGAGCAGTTATAAATTGCCAATTTTTATATAAATGTATATATAAAAACATATTAATTTTTTTTTAGAGCATAGTACCTTAGCGCTGAACACTTTCGATATTTTTCGTCTATTATTATTTGAAACATTTTCAGTGAAAGTTTTTATTTTTTTTTTAAATTCAAAATTTACTATAATTTTTTCGAGGTCCAAGAAATGTATGTTTTAAACGAAAATAAAATTTGGAAATAAATTAAAAAGATAATTATTATTTAACGATAAATTTTGTTATTAAAAAAAATTAATTTAAAAACTAATATGAAATTAAAAGATAAGAAAAAAAATATTTCAATATAAAAAACAGTTTTCGAGCATAAAAAATTTCATGTTTGTAGGCTTTTTATCAACAGAGGGGCTTGAATATCATACTAAAAAAAAATTAAATTTTTTCACTAAATCTTAGTATGTTCTCTTTACGCAAAAAAAATATTTTTCATATTTTACTGCTTTATATTATATTTGAAAAATTTACGCAAACTGCATTTACAGCCGCAATGTCATTTTTATACTATTTATAATTAAGAAGAACAGTTAAAATGCAAACACATTGAATTGTCATACAATAGTTTCTATAGTGGCATTTCAAAATTTATGTATAAACGTATGTGCATGTATGTAAAGACATTTTCTATATATATATAGCGCAAGAAAAAAGGTGGTTTGGGAAGTGTTAATGAAAATATTTAGCTGCTAAAAATCCATACTATTTTGTTTCATAAAAAGCGTCAAAGATGTAAAAGAAAGAGAAATTTCTAGGTATATTTAAAAAAATTCGATTCATGTAAGAAGCTATTTTAGTTAATGTATGTAGCTTCAAAGCACTATAATGAAACCTATTACAAATATGTATGTAACTTATACAATATATACTTAAATTACTGAGAGATAATTAAGCAAATGCTATTTTTTTTTTTATAAACAAACAATATACAGTTATGTACAGAGATACATAGAGCGCATTACAACTGCTTATCTCCCTATTTCAAAACGCACAAAATAATTGAAAAAAAGAAAACATAAAAAGTGAAAAAATATTAGTGAGGAAAAAAAATTATACCATTTTCTGGATCGTCTGTTGAGTTTGTGAGTTATTAAATAAATATTTAAGCTAATTGTAAATAAAAAATAACTAAACGTTAAAAATTATAAAAACAAATTTTTCAACACTAATTACGAATATTTGCATTTGGATTGAAGCTAACGCTAGCGAAAGAGTTAACCCAACGCAACGTCAATGAAACTATTTTTTAGCATTTAATAAAACTATTTCTCGTTTTAGTTTCTGCTTTCTAATCTAACGATTCTCATCTGCTTGCGTTTGGGCGGGTGGCGCTGCGCGGTAGAAGGCATTCGCGCCGCGTATGGGCAAGGGATGCGCCTCCGTGTTAAATATCCATTCGTCCAGTGGTAGTAATGTGTCATCGGAGAAGAGCAAATACAAGTACTGTAGGCAAGAAATTTGGAGAAAAGTGCAGAAAAGTTGATGAATAGTAAAAAATTAACTACATATATATATATTATATTTATACATATATATGTGTATATATATACATAAATCAATTGTCAAACCTTTAATGTCTCCGCCAAGAAGAAACTCTGCTGCACATCATCCTTTTGCGGTGACTCCTGATACACATTCTTAATACCACTATAGCCATGATTTGTACGGCAGTATGTCTCCAATGCTTGTACAGCCTCCCAACCCCAATCGCGATATTTTTGATCGTGCGTCAAACGCCAGAGTACAAAGTAACTCTCCATTGTCTCCGGTCGTAGTATATAGTATTTCTCTTGTGATTTCAAGGCACGCGCTTCGGCGGCATCACTGAAGCTGTGGTAAAGTGAAAAGAAAAGCGAAATTTTAGTAAAAAAATAAATAAATATATAATAATATATATTATATGTGTATGTGCATACCGAAAAGCTTCAGGCCCCAATTTTGTCGGCGTTCGTGTGTAGCTCTCGTGGCAGGTATTTGTTAGACCCTTGCCGAGTTCCATAAATTTATTGGCATGCTGATTTTGTCGCGTATTGGCAGCTAAGGCAAAGAGACCACCTAAATGTGAAAAGATACAAAAATTTAAACATTTTTTAGCATTTCTCTTAATTTTTTTTCTTCCGAAACGAAAAGAAAATATTTTAATACAAAAACAAACAATTTCCTTACATCAAAAGTTTCATGCTTTTTCTTTATCAACCGGGCTTTGTGGTTGCGTATCATAATATTTCCCAAAAAATTACTTTAAAATTTTGTTTAATAAAGTTAAAAGTAATCTTAAGGTGATATTAACTCGTACATTTAAATTAATAAAAAATATAAAAGAAAAAAAATCGTTAAAAACTTGAAATACTGATATTTGAAAAATTACATTAAATTAATATTACAAAATATATATTTGTAAGAAGTAATTAATTTTAGTTTAATATTATATTTTTTAATCAAATTAGCAAAAAAAAATTTGTATTACTAATTTCTTTTTAATTTTAAATTAAGATTAAACAATTTTTTTTAAACTAAAAAAGTATTACATTTCCGAAATTGAAATTAAAAATACCTACATATTTGTATATTATTTCCCTAAAAATTCAAATTTTATTACTTTCTAACTATTATTATTGATTTTGTTACAATATTATTAATATAAACCTTATTCTATTATTATTATTATTAAAATTAATTTTATATTAATTTTATTATTAATAATATTTTTATATTAATATTATATTACAGTTTGTTTTGTTAAATATTATTTTTATTATTAATATCAATGTTTTATTAATATTATAATATTGTTATGATTTTCCTAAAAATTAAAGTTTTAATACTTTCTTATTATTATAATTAATTTTTATTAAATTCAAACTTTAAACGATTTTGAAGTTATTACTACGTAAATTAATAAATAGTTTTTCCCTTCAGAAAATAATTAAAATATTTAAACATATTTTCTTTCTTTAAGAAATTATATCGAAAGTTAATAATTAAAAAGAATTACTTTTTTCTGGGAAAAGTCGTAATCTTCCGTTATACCATTATTTTAAAATTGAAAATTCAAAAAAATGAGATTGATGACTCAACTAAAGAGAAGCTTAGAAAATTCGATGTCCGAAAGTTTCGGATCAGAAATAGAAGATTCTTAGAAAAATCGAATTGGGACGGCAAACAAGAATTGATTGCCTAAGATCATGTAGGAGAATACTTTTTATGGGCCATACATATGAAAGTGTGGTACGTTAGAGTCCATTCTGTTGAAGTGAGACTAAAATGTGCTTTAATTACAGCTCTTGGTTAAGGTGCTATGTCTATGGATGCTATGTCTATGGATTGTTTCATCGATTTGAGATCATCCTCCTTCCCCTGCATCTACCGAAGGGTACTGCATCGAATACTTTCACGGATGGACAACATGACCCAGCCGTCGCAGTTGCTGTCTTTTAATTGATTATAATACGTGCATGACTATGTTATCGTATATCACGGGTAGCTCATCGCTCCACGGCTACCGTATTCGCTGCCACCCTTGCGTGGGAGTCAGAAAATCGTTCGGAAAAGTTTCCTCACAAAAACTTCTTCTGAGAGGAGAATGGTGAGCGTTTTTTTGTTTTCGAAAGGGGACGTGACTCTGCTGTTCAAAAAGAGATGAATTTATTTGTTTCAAATGGTCAGCATCTGGGAACTAAGTAGTCGCGAAAATGCAATGACTAAGTATGAGCTTGCTTGATTCCTTAACCGATAGACGTTAGACTTCCCATTTCAAGTAACAAACAACCACAGCTCCTGGGGTACTCACATATCAGAGGCTTGAAAATGTCATGATTTTTGCTAAAGACTTCTTCTTCAGAGATAAACCTAGCCGATTTCTGATCTAAAAATTTCTCCAAAGCAGCCAAGCTATAATTGTAACAAATTTTTTTTATCAAACCCACTGTACTCACCCGCAAAGCAAGCCAGGTGATCCATTTTATGTTCCAAATGATCAAACTTCAAATCTGAGACATATGTCAAACCACCCGGACTTGTGCGAATCATGTGCTCATTAATCGCCACCATCGCTTCGTCGAACATCTCACGAGCCTCTTCATCCACTTGACCTGACTGTAGCCAAGCCTTTAGCAGGTACTCATAGTAACTGTCGCCCAATGCGCCGAGCGACATGTGCACTGCAAAGAGAAAATAAAATAAAAAGTAAATACCAACCCGAAACAAGTAAGCCACCAACGACGACTACTCACTTTGTCCCCACTTGCCCGTTTTGGGGTTAATAAAATTCGGATAAAGACCCTTTGGCTTTTCGATCTCCTTCAAAACTTGTCGTATAGTTTGTACACGTTCTCTATACAGCGGATTGCCGGTGATATCACTTAAATATACAAATTCACAATGTAAAGTGCCAGCTTCGGATAAAATCGAACTGCCACCTGAAGCCCAACCGTAATTTCTACTCGCTCCGGTTCGTGTATTTACCAAAGCATATGGTATACCAGTGGGCGTCTGGAAGGCGGGCAACAGCTTGTCGGCCACATGCTGGGCTTTCTCTTTGTATAGATTATCACCAGTGAAAGCGTACAATGTTAGCATGCCACCAACAAAACGTATGTTTGTTTCGAAGACTGACAAATCGGCGCTCACATTGTCTAGTGAAAATTTACGTTCAATCCAATCGCGACCTTCTTGATATTCCTTCTCCAAACCCATTAAGTAGAGTGTGTCGAGGCCATCGATTATGGTCGCACCCAAATCGTAAGTACCGAATATGCTGCCGGAATGTGGCCGCTGGCTAAGCGGTCGTAATTCGTTTTTACCCCAAGCATAGAGTTTGTAATTATCCCAAGCGTGTTGCATCATCTGGAAAGAGGGGAGGGGAGAAAAACGGAAATTTAATTTTTGACTAGTGAATAGAATAAAATACGCATATTTTTGCTTTTGACAATAATATTCGAATTTTAAAATATGTGGCAACTCTTATAAAACATATATCTCTATTGTTTTTCTTAAACTTTTGCAGTTTGATAGCTTTATCGTCATATTTTACGTATTAAAAAATTTGTAATAAAAAAATACGAACAGTTGGCAACCCTTCTCAAAAATAATTTGGTATTTTCTTTTAAATTTTCTCTCGTCAGATTACATAGTATTTTACTGGTTCTGTACTTTTTTTTAAATAAATATTATAAACTGGTGGCAATTCTTTTGAAAAAGATTTTCTCCTATTATTTTCTATAACTCTCCATAACCATATTTTAATATTATATATATTATTATTATATTTTATATTATATTTTCAATCAAAATTTTCAAACAGATGGCAGCTGTTATAAAAAATGTTGCTCTGACAGAAAGTTATGTTGTCACACTTTATTCATTATTTGTTTTTTATAAAAAAAATATGATCAGATGGCAACCCTACTCAAAAATATTTTCCTCTTTTTTCATAAATCATTTACGTCAGATGACAAGTTTTTTCATATTTTACTTATTGTGAGTTTTTTTTTAATAATTTATAAATAAAACGAATAAAACAGGTGGTAACTCTCTTCTAAAATAAGTTGTACTGTAGCTATTTTCAAGTTTTTTTTGTTCTATTCTTATTATAATCAAATTTTACTTTACTTAAAAATTCGTATTAAAATTATAAATAGGTGGCAACACTCCGTTTTCCACTTCAACTCTTTTTAACACTTCTTTTAATATTTTTCTATTATAGACCTTTTTTAAGTTTAAATCTTCCAACCGGCAACCATTTTCGTGAGAAAAATCTTGAGTCTGCTGGCTCTCATTGTAATATTTTATTTATCTTATAAATTTTATCGGATTTAAATTAGCAAACAGGTGGCAAATGACTTTAAATCTCTTTACGTTTAAGGTCAGCAATATATTATTTGAGAAATCGATTTACTTGAATTTAAGTTTTTAAACAGATTAAACATCCACTAAGAAAAATTTAATTTTAATTTTTTTTAAACTCCCCTTTTAGTCCGAAATTCATGCCATAATATTTTATTTCTCCAAATATAATTTAATCTTATCTAAAATGTTTAACCGGTGGCAAATCACATCAGAAAATAACTTTCATGTTTAAGCATTTTGCAACACTTCAGTTTAAACCCCATATACTATAATATTTAATTTAACAGATCGCTTATAAATTTTTTAGTGGTTGGCAACTCCTTTACGATGAAATTTTTCTTTCAAACTTTATTTAACTAATTTAAATAGATTTTTTATTTTTTTCTAATTCAATCGTATACGTTTAAAATTTTGAACAGGTGGCAACTCTCCCCTTGAAAATATTTCTTTTTAATTTTATTTAACGATATTCTTCTTTTCAAAATCGATTTTAATTGGTTTCTAATATAATCCTAGACGTTTGAAATTTTGAACAGGTGGCAACTCTTCCCATGAAAATATAAATAATTTTTTAAACACAATCAATTTTTTTCGTATTTAAAATTTTTAACAGGTGGCAACTTGTCTCAATTTTTTCTTAATATATTTGTTTAATATATTTATTTATTTTTATGCCTGTTTTGCATTTCATTTTGGATTCAAACTATTTTTACAGATATGCAAGCAGATGGCAACCCTCTAAAATAATTTCCAATTTATTAAATCTTCAGATTAATTAATTTATTGCAATATCGCATTTATTTTCCAATTATTTCAAATTAAAAAATAATAATAAATAAATATTAGAAAAATCAATTTTATTTTTTTAACTTCACCAAAATCTTCACCTCACCCTTCTTAAATATTCGCATACACACTGGCATATGACTTTATCAAATTTTAATTTTCTTCTCAGACTGTGTCTCAGACAAAGCGCCTGGGTTCAAGTTCATTTAATATTTGCAATTTACTTGATTTCTCGAAACGCCGCTCTCGTTGCGCCATTTTTGCAGAGCGTTCCTTCGACTCTTTATGAACCTCTGTGTTAGGATGTGTTTGAATGTGTGTGTGTGTGCCCGCGCATGCATGTACTTCCATTAAATATGTTTGTAAATTGTCAGTTTGTGAACTTAATTGAAATTTATAGGCAATTCCCTATATGATGCTCTTCGTTCGTACGCTCACTGGCTCGCTGGTTTGCTCACGTGTTACATACCTACATATATACATACATACATACATTTGTATGTATGAATACATATATCAAGTATGCGAGTCAATGCCGTACATGTCGTGACCATTTGTTGTTCTTGCTGTTGTTGTTGTTGCCATTGTGACGCATCATTTGGCATTAATTGCTATTAGTCGGTCCATAGAAATATTACTGCTGCTGCTGCTGCTACAGACGATGCCGCTGATGGAACCACAAACAACAACAATGCGATTCTTTGTAATCGCTACTGTGTAATCAAATACTCTTGCGTCACGCGGGCATGGACACGGACGCGGACCCATGCAATTACACACAAACTATGTGCATTATATGTATGCAAGTTTTCCATTTATATAGTATAATATATGGTAACATATGTACGAGTATGTGTGTGAATGATGTTGTTTGAGCAGTTTTTAATGCACACTATTGAATATTGTTTACTTTGAATGCAACACAGACTCGGCGATAGAAAAATTAGTTCGTAGTTGCATTTGCGAGCATGTAAATGCATACATACATATATACTATGTGAGTTTTATCAACAATAGGCGGCATAGTGCCTACACTTTTTATTCATTTTGTTGTTGTTGTTGTTTTTTGTTTTAATTTTTTTCATGGTGCATAACAAAAATAATTAATATTATCAGTGAGTGAAATGTAATACTTAACGGTGAAGGCTATTTGTAGTAGAGCAAAAATCATATAATATTATTGTACCCACGGCGTATACGCAACATTTGCGCGATAAAATATTTTTAGACTTTTTTTTTTTAATTACAATTTATAATATAAAAGTCTTACTTTCGTTTATAAAGATCTGACTTGAAATTTTGTCAAATTTTTCCTATGGTATCAGAGAAAAATTATACGAATTTCGTGAAGTGGACCCAAGGCTAATCGGAAAAATCTTATTTATGGTTCGATTTACTCGAAATTCGGTTCAAAGGAGGCTTTTTTTCTTTTAGTTCTTTTTTGTTTGATTTTTTTCACATATGTTCGATTTGCTCGCAATAATTCTTCTTTCTTTGCGGGAAAGCGATCACCGACGCATTAAGAAAAAAAATAATATGATTTGGAGATGAATGTGGATCGTTATTTTGCGCCTGCGGATTTTTTACACAACACTGCTTGTCATTTCTCGATCAACACCAGCGAACGATATCAGTGCACAAAAAAACGTAATAGAAGCAAAAATTTTTTGCGGACCTTTCAAATGTGAAGACATGCTCCTTCCGCAAATCTCTATCATTCCTTCTTACACTCTCTATCTTTTAGATACTGATAACTTCGCACAGATGCAATTGTATGGAGCATGTTCTATGGTTGGAAAACCAGATAACCTTTTTAATTCTGGTCGGTCAATTACTCAAAAAGCCGATGAAATTCTGAGCCCGGAGAAGTAAGACTTACATGCAAGCTCTCAGGAGATAACGAATGCATTAGACGTTACTCCTGTGACAGTTGGAAATAATTTAAAAAAGTTTAGCTATTTATATGCAACAAGAATTAACCTACAAAATTCCGAATGACCAAATTACCATCAGTGGACCGCTTTTGTAACGCAACAAAATCGAATCATTGAAAAGCGACTGATCACGGATCATGAAAAGTGAAGCAAATATGAGAATATAAAAGGAAAAAATCATGGTCGAAAGTCGGTGACCCTCCACAAACAATTTCAAAGCTTGAATTGATGGCAAAAAAGGTGATGCCGGATTGTAAGTGAATTAATGCATTATAAACTACTACAACCTGCCAGAACTATCAGCTTACAAAAGTTAGTCAGCTCTTAAAATAAACGTCCATAATTGTTGAATAGCAAAGGTATTGTGCTACAATAACACAACCAAAGGCCAAATACATCTTTGAAGCGTCCACCATATAACCCGAACTTTGCTTCATCGGACTACATTTTTGTTTCGGTTTCTGCAAAACTCTCTTGACTCACCGAAGAGAGCTGCTGGAAATCATTTGTGCAAAGGCCTTCGACGATAAGCCGCAGATTCATTGATGGAGTATGAGGATTCTTTATTTCATATATAATTATACACTCGGAGGGTTTGAAATTCCTTGCTCAAATAGAATGGTCAATATTAATTTGATCAAAATTAAATTTTATTAACAAATTCAAAAACTAACAAAAAAAATCGCAGAGAGTGTTTAATCATCCAATATATTTATTATACCAACAGATCGGTCAGAATGAAAAAGGTCAATTTGTGGAACTAAAAATGTTAACAATTTGTGCCTTCAAAATTGGATTTCGAATCAAGTGTGTGGTTAAAAGTATAGAGACAACACAAAGGCGTAACTAATGCCCGATTGCGTATTTATTCATATGCATATGCCCGTATCTATCTCAAATACTTCGTGCCGTAACATACAACCTTTCTTTTTTGGAAAAAAAAAAATATTTTGAAGATAAAGCGTAAATTTGCTAAATAGGCTCACCGCATACAGTTTTTGTCGCCGTCACAATTCATTGAGCATGAAAATATTTTGTTTTACGAATTTATTTATTGTTTAAGCGACCTTTATTTTGGTAGAGTGAAAATTTGTGGGCTACAAAAAATTAAGTAGAACAACAAATGAAAGAATAGATAACTAAATTCAGTAAACAAAAAGCTTTGCAAAATACAAAGGCCCACCAATATAAACAATGCCGGCGGAGAATTCAACATTATCACGCCACGAAAACAAAACAATGCAGGCGGACAGACAGGGCAGGCTGGATGACAATAAC